GTATCTAGGTAAAGAATTTTTTAGGACATTTCGGTTTGCAGACTAGTGCATTATACAACTGTGCTTGGTTGTAGTTTTCGAATTTCCAATTTGGCATTTCAGAATTTTAGCTAGAGCTTTCGGTGTATAAAATGGAGCAGACCTTGTCAACGCAAAAATTGGCTGTATGTTGCAATCGTTGATGTTTGGTTTCGTTAATCTTGGGGTCCTTCGCAAGCGCTTGTTTTTCTTCTGTTCTCTCCTGTTCTTTTTCGTAGTAGGTAACCTATAATGCCGCCGATTTTTGAAGATCTTTGTACTCATCTGCTCGTACCTCAGTGTTACAGGTAAAACTCGTTTCGAGATGGCTCCTCCAGGAGCTTTCGAGAGCCAGAAAAACAAGGAGCATCGAAGTTAGTTTGTGCTGTATAATAGACAACCTTATTTTTAACAATGCTTTGAAAACAAGCGTAGTTGACAAATAATTGCGAGTCATTGCAGCCCATAAAACTGGTGGAAAAGCTACGAAAATCAAAGAAAAGAACAAGGTGAAGGGTAACAATGCCAAAGCCTTCACCTTCAAATCCGCCGTTGCTGCAGGAAAAGCGATTAGGAGGTGAGTTTATCGGAAATCTCGTTTCATTTAGAGTTGCTTCCTAAATTAGATAGTTTAATACTTACAAGGGAAGGATGCTAGGTGGCCGTGGCGTTTTAGAATCAAACTTATACCATTATATCCATTTTAAAGCGCAGTCCAAATCTACCTTCGTATCTGTCGTGCGCTCTTCCGAAAAAAGTTACAAACATTTCTTGCCTCCATCTGCACTATTTTGATGAACAGAAGGCACGAATATCGTTCTGGTGGTCGCTTAGACATTACAAAAGAGCGTCCAGATAAAATGAAGTTTCATGTCAAGCTCATTAGAACTGTCTCCGATATATCCGAATTCAAAAAGACTGGATGCAGATGATTCTGACTGCATAGGTCTCGGGAAATCAATATGGAAGGGAAGTCCATAACTTTGTTCGGAGAGTCTAATTTGGAAGAGCGTTTCAAGGCGAATCTAATGATATACGTTTCACTGCCAAAGGTTACGATCACCTAGTATCTCCTCTCGTCAGGTCATAGTTTTTCCTGTTTTTTTTGAGTTTTCATCTCCACGCCAGATTTATTCTGTCATAAAAAGCCAGTACTCGAATTAGCACATATGTATGTCAAATGAAATTTGTAGGGCAGCAGACATCAATGAGAAAAAGAAGCATATCTTGTATATGGACCG